TTTTGGACATTCTTGCTAAGGTGGTTTTGTAACCTTTGGTGTGATATAAATGTAAAACTCCTTATTTTATTTTTGGTAACACTTGTATAATTTGCACGAATTTTAGTTACTTTTGGTGTCCTCTTTCACTCTTCAGTGTCTCAGTTTGGATGACAAGTCGTGTGGTAGGTTGTTTTTTCATTAGTCTTCCAGTTCCAGTTCTCTGTTAACTGGCTCCTTCTCTGATTTTTTTATTTTTATAATATTTTTTTATTTTTTATTTTATTTTTGCTTTGATTTCTGAGACAATCTGATTGGTCTACCTTGTGGAAATGCTAGATCATTTGTTGTTGGTTAACCAAGTGTCTGTGGCTCTTGAACCAAGTGCTCTGTCTTGGTCCAATTATCTGTGGGTAGGATCGTGTCAGGTAGGAGTGGGGGTATCATGTGATAGAAAAACATGTCTGCACACAGAGCAAGAGGTTTGGCTTAGAAGTGGATATGGGCATGACAGTTATTTTGACTTCCTCTGTAAAGCACTTAAAACTAACTGTCAAGTCTTATAACAGAGTGAAGAATTGCTACATGAAGTCCAGGCACGGTGACTCGTGCCTATAATCCCAGCACTTTTGGAGGTCAAGGTGTAAAGATCACCTGAGCCCAGGAGTTTGAGACTAGTCTGGGCAACCTAGGAGACCTTGTCTCTATTAAAAAAAAAAAAAAAAAAAAAAAAGAAATTGCTATGTGAAAACTGAAGCATTGATTACTAACATCACTTACTAAAATACAAGCCCTGAAAGAAGGTCTTGTTGTTCACTGTTGTGTCCCCAGCAACTGGAAAAAGTATAAACAAAAACTAAATTTTAAACTTCCCAACTAACTGAATAGACACCTCCTCTTGGACAAGGAGATTATAAAGAAAACTAAAAAACTAGTTCAAGCCATCATGAGAAGGGGAGATAGGACATGTCTCATTGTACTTTCCTCACTTTGGAGTTCAGGCACAACTAACCAGCACTAACAGAGGCCAGGCATGGTGGCTTGTGGCTTGTGCCTGTAATCCTAGCATTTTGGGAGGCTGAGGTGTGAGGACTGCTTGAACCTAGGAGTTGAAGGTTGCAGTAAGCTATGATTGTGCCACTGCATTCCAGCCTGGATGACAGAGTGAGACCCTGTCTTTATAAAATAAAAAATAAAAAAAAATTAAAAGAAGCTATTAAAACAGACATCTTAACACTGACAAAACAGACTCTTTGTAGTAATACGATATCAAATTCCAACCTGACTTGAGTATAGCATAACACGACAGATAACCCTGAAAGAAATCAGAAAATATTTTACCCCAAAATATATTTCTTTGACATATCTTTATTTTATTTTATTTTATTTTATTTTATTTTATTTGAGATGGAGTCTTACTCTGTCGCCCGGGCTGGAGTGCAGTGACGTGACCTTGGCTCACTGCAACCTTCACCTCCCAGGTTCATGCAATTCTTCTGCCTCAGCCTCCTGAGTAGTGGTGGCTCACGCCTGTAATCCCAGCACTTTGGGAGGCTGAGGCGGGCAGATCACTGAGGGTCAGGGGTTTGAGACATATTTTTAAATAGCCCCACAAAGCTGTTTCTTGTGGGGGAAATTTACATTGTGTAGAGAATCCCTTTCCCTTTCCAGGTTTTTTTCTGATACTGAAGAGATTAGCAGAAAGGTCTAGTTCCTTTTAAGTGTCTGAATAGAAAGCATTTACCTTCTATTGCCTCCAAGGGCAGCTACCTACAAGACTTCATCTACACAGTAAGAACCTTGGTCTCTACAACCCTTATCTTAGCCCAGAAACTCCTTTCTGTTGATTCCAGGTCTTTAGATAGTAACTTTACTATTTCAACCATCTGTGAATCAGAAAATCTTTGAATATACATACGAACTGTAAGCCCTCACTATGAGTTGCCCCACCTTTCTGGATTGAACCAAAGTATACATTAGATGTATTGATTGATGTCTCATGTCTCCCTAAAGTGTATAAAACCAAGCTGCAGTCTGACTGCCTTGGGTACATGTTCTCAGGACCTCTTGAGACTATCCCTTGGGCCATGGTCATTTATTTGGCTCAGAATAAACCTCTCTAAATATTTTACAGTGTTTGTCTCTTTTTGTTGACAAAAGTGATGGATCCACTTAATAGTCATTCAACAAATATATATTAAATAAATGAAATACATATTAAATAAATAAAATAAATAGTAGATTGGTTTCAGCTGTTGGGTTCAGAAACAAGAAAATGTTACCTACTCTTGAGGAGTGTGGAGCAGTTTGTTGTTTGGAACAGTTGTGTATTGTTGCTCCACTGAGTAGGGACTCCCTGGGATGGGGCAGCAGGCTGAGAGACAGGAGGCAGCCAGGGTAGCCATGATTTATACCTTGTCTTTTCTCTCAGTAAGTCCTAGAAATCTGAAAACAGAGCAAAAAGTATTTATTGAGCACTCAGTATAATATATAATAAAGCATAAACTCCCCATGTAGGATATAAGGTGTGTTCTCCATGGTCTGGCCCCTCTCTGTAGCCCCCCATCTCCCACCCTTCCTATAGCTCTCCCTCTAGGCCAGCCATACCTAACCACTCACAGTCCCCCAAATAAGCCATCATTTCCCATGCCCCAGTGCTATTGATTCTGCTTATAGAGCTTTTTTTCTCTTCCCACTTGGTGAGCTCATATATTCAGTCCTTGATACTCACCTCTTGTATTGGTTTATTATTGCTGCATAATAAATTGTCACAAACTTAGTAGCTTAAAACAACACACATGTATTTTCTCACACCTTCTATGGGTCAGACATCTTGGCATGGCTTAGCTGGTCCTCTTGTCAGGATCTCAAAGGCTATCACCAGTGTGTTGGCTGAGCTGCCTTCCTTTCTGAAGCTTATGGTCCTCTTCCCAGCTCATGAGGTACTTAATAAAATTCAGTTTTTTTGTGGTTGTAGGACTGATGATTTTGCTTGTGTTCTGACTGTCAGAGGGAGCTACTCTCAGATCCTAGAGGCCCCTGTGGTTAATTCCACATGGTCCCCTCACAATATGGTGGCTTTCTTCTTTAAGGCTAGCAAGAGAATCTTTTGCTATAGTTTGCTGAGATAGAGACTTGTATAACAAAACAATCAAGGAATTAGCTCTCTCTCACTTTGACAACACTCTTTAGGCTAGAAGCAAGTCAAGTATTTCATACACACACTCAAGGGGAAGGGATTACGTGTGGGTGTGACTCACTGAGGGTTCTCTTCAAGTCTGTCTGCCACTGTCCACCCTCTGACCTCCAGTGATTCACATTTCTCCCACATGCAAATACATTCATCCCATCCCAAGGCCCTTAAAACTCTCACTTTATTACATCTTCTCTTTGAATCCCTCCCTATTCCTCTTCTTCAACAAAGTTGGATTTCCCTGCACCTGTATTTTTGCTTTATTTTTTTCTATAATGCTGGTCAAGATAAACTGCAAAGACCTTGGATTATCCATGGGGCCAATTTAGGTATATCATCAATTTCCCCAGAATACAATTATATATTATAAAACATTCCTAGCTTACGTAGGAGGGCTTTGAGAACAGAGAATTACATTATACTCTGCACAACAAAAGTTATCCCTCTATCCGCTTTAAATGCCTCGCCTCCTTTCCCAAAGGTCTCATTCATGGGAAACTGCCCTGTTTGCTGTTCTTCCTCCCTGACACCTACTCCCTTGCCTACTTCTCTTTTTGTCTCTTCATTCACAGCCCTTTCTCAGCCACACACTTTCCAATCTCCTCCCATTATCTGGGATTTTTCCTTCCAGATGTCTTTATCACTTTTCTCATGTTGCAAACTAGACTTCTCTTTCACAGTTTGTATACCTACCTTTAATGCTTGTTCAACAAAATTAAAGATCATTCTCAATATCCATTGTCCTTGGAACTCAGGAATTACAAACAACTGCTTAATAAATATTTTTCCCATCATGATAGCACCCATCACATCTTCCTCCTTTGTTGGCACACATTAAGTAATTCATTCATTGTTGAATGAATTAATAAGCATCAAGATAATTTACCCAGACAATTCAAAGCCAAAAAATTCCACTATGGTTTATTTGCTCTATCTTTAGCCTGAATTGGCAAATTTTTAGCCTTAATTAATAAAAATAGGCTAGGTTAGCATTCCTGTATATCCGGGAACCATAGAATCTGGCTCGGAAAGGGCTTACCAGTCAGTCTAACTCAGTCTTCACCCTGGTGCTTGAATTCCCTCTGCAGCATCCTTATGTGGTTAGTCTTCTGCTTTAGAAAAGTCAATCATTTCCCTCCCAAGGTGGGCTCACCTTTTTTTCAGCTTTGAGAGAGTCTGCTAAAGAGAGTATCCACTAAAAGAGCTTAGGGCACGGCATATGAAAATGTGGGAAGGGTCACTGTGATTGAAATAAAGCGATTCACAAACATTCCTGTTGCCTGGCCTTCTGGGCATGCGGTAAGATGATGCTTCTTCATCCCCTTTGAAGCTTGGTTGGCCATGTGACCTGCTTTGGCCAATGAGGTGACTAGGTGTGATATCACTTTCTGCAGAGCTTGAACAGCCAGCATGTGATCTACCATATTGCTTTTCTCATGCCATGGTGGTTGTGAAGCACACATGGAGAGGAATTCTCTATCAGCCTGTGTCCTAGAGTGACTAAAATGATCCAGATACCACCCACCATCCCTGATCTGCATTAGACATGTAGAGTATGTGAGAAATAAATGTTTGTTGTGTTTAGCACTGAGATCTTGGGGGTTATACTGCAGCTCATTCTGATATGGTCACTGAAAATTGGGCTGGCCAGGGTGATTACATTTCAACTCATCCTCAAAGTAATTTGATAGACTCACATCTGCAAATCTTCTGAGGCATATATAAAAGATGTTGGACAGGGTACCCAGGCTGACCTAAGAGCTTCTGTTGACAAGAAATAAATTTGCTTTTGACTCTCTTTTTAATGTTTTATATGATCTTTTCCCAGGAAGTTTTGACTCTATAGAGCCAGTGGATGTGGACCATGGACTTAGGAAGAGATTTGGACACAAAGCAGAGAACACCGAAGAGCTGCTCATTTGCACTGAAGTGGTTTGCTGGCTTTCTGCCTAGATCTGACATCTCTTCAAATGGACGGTCCCAACTCTCTCTCAATTCTCTTCCCCCTTCTCTGTAAGTCACAAATGCTGCATTTGGAGGAACTTCATTTTAACTAGGATAAACATCACATAATAAATGATGCATTTTTTCCCATAAAGCAAACCATTTATAAATGTTTTTAGTAATTGTTCATATTGGAGCACTTGGTGGAAGTCTTATGATCTATAGTGTCCAGTGAGGCTTCCATTTAAAGGGGAGCAGAGACAATGCCAAAGTTGATAGAAGGGATGATGGGGAGATAAACTCTCGAGGCCTATATATTATCCACCCGCAGTGATGGAAGGGCCACAGGAAGGACGGTGATTATTCTATTTGGCAAGCCAATTGTCTGTCTTTGGAAAATGATAGGAAGAAGAGTGGAGTCAAAAATAATACCTTTCTCACGCCCAGATATAAACGAGCTATTTACAATCCCTGCTGCCTTTTAGGTTTGGGTTTTATTTTTCCTCTGAACAATAGATTAAACCTTCGAGGAGGTTTGTAGTAAAAGAGGAGGAAACTATAAAAAACACCACATACTTGCAGACATCTGCAAGAAACCATATTATTTGTCCCCTTCAAAGGAATCTCCTGGAGAGACTATAAGTTTATTCAAATAAAATAGCTGTGTTGCAGACTTTTAGAGCTTTTTTTTTTGAAATTTGTCTTTTCGAATATTCTTTACACATAATTCATTCATTCATTCATTTAAGTAAGGACATTGAATGCCTGTTATTTATTGAGTACTATGCAAGAACTTGGGAAATAATGAGGAATAAATTGATCCTAGCTCCCTGAAGATATTTACCAGCTACTGGGGGACCACAGACAAGTAAACCAGACACATTCACTATGGGTTTGATCAATGCGGTGGTAGACATATGCACAGCATGCTGTGAGAAAAAAATAGGAGAGGCATCAAATGTGGACTAATATGTAATCAAGGAAAGATTCCTGGAGCAAGTGGTTTCTCAACTTAGTTTTGAAGAAAGCAAATAGGAGTTATATGAACAAGAGGAAGGAGGGGTGTGTGCAAAGGTCTGGGGGTAAGCAATAACATGGCAGATTTGGAGAATAGCAAGTCTTTTACATGGGTCTTAACTTTTTTTTTTTTTTAAGAGATAGGGTCTTGCCATGTTGCCCAGGTTGGCCTTGAACTCCTGGACTCAAGTGATCTTCCTACCCTAGCCTCCTGAGTAGCTGGAACTACAGGCATGCTGCACCTCACCAGGTGGGAAGTTTGCTGACACTGCATACTTGGGCTTCAGTTAGGAGACAGATGCCCAGGGCCTCCTGCCAATGGGATGTCTTAAAGAAGTCTTTCCCAACATTAAGCTGGAACTCCAAAGGGTTAAACCTAAAGGGAGGATAAAGTAATGAAACCCTATTGCCTCCCTGCCACAGTGATGGGACTGTGGAGAAGCCTGCCTTTCTACTGAACAGAGCAGGAAGCAAAAAGAAGAAAAAGATAACCCATTCCTGAGAAGTTGTGACAACAAATTGGCCTTTGTGTAGATATACATCTGCCTATACTGGTTCCCTGGGAGTACTGGGCCACCTCAGGCCATGCAGTTGGCTGAAAGTGGTCTTCTTTCCAGGGGACCTGGCAGAAGAAAGCAAAAAGCATCTCTGGAGGAAGACCATTCATTCTAGACCTCGGGCACTCTTTACAAATTATTTCTCAATGTGCAGGTAACAGTAAGCAAGCTCACAAAGAAATAAGGCAACATAAATGAGAACCAGCTGCTTACCCACACCCCCACCACCCCAAAAATATAGGAATAGGCCATAAACACTTCAAATGCTATAATTATCAGGCACAGATTCTGAAACAATTGTTTCCTGGTTTAAAGAAATAAATGAGATGTTTAAAAATATTAACAGAACAAGCATCTATAAAAACAACAGATTTGCAGAAAAAATATATAGAACTTCCCAAAATGGAAAATTCAATAATTAGCATTAAAAATTCAGTGGATATGTATGGCCAGATTAGACTCATCAGACAAGTAAAGTACTATATATATCAGAAGAAATTATCCATAATATAACACAGAAGAAAAAATAAGATAGAAAATTCAGAAGAAAGAGTAAGGGACATGGAGGAGATAGAGATCAGAATCCCCCAGAAGCAGCGAAAATCAGGCAGAAGTGATATTTGAAGGCATAATACATGATATATTTCCAGAATTGATTGAAATGACTTAATGCACAGATTCAAGTGAATCAGAAGCATAAAATGAAAATATAAAAATTAAATAACAGTAGAAATCTTAAAAGCAGTCAGAGGAAAAAAAAAGTTGACTTCAAAGAAGTGGCAATTAAAATGACAGTTGACTTTTAAACAGCAAGAAGTCAGAAAATGTGTTAAATATGCCAAAAAAGAAGGATTACCAAACTAATATTCTATGCCTAGCAAAAATATATTTCAAGAATGGGAACACAATAAAACCACTTTAATATAAACAAAAACTGAAGTTTTTTTTTTTTTAATCACTAGGAGGTATTAAAGGATGTACTTTAAGTAAAAAGAAAGTTATGCCAGATGAGACTGAGGAACAGAAGGAATTATGTGCAAAGAAAGTAGAAAATATGTGGAAAAACATAAACATTAGATGTGTGAAGCAGTAATAATATGTAGTGATTTTAAAAAAGAATCAACATATCAATTTTCTAAAGTTTTTATATTATCTGAAAACAATGTGAAAGTTTTTATTAACTTTAGACTTTGATCATTTAAGTGTACATATTATAATTCCCAGAACAATCTCTAAAGGAACACAGAAAGTACAATTGCCAAACCCACAGAAAGTGTAATATAATGAAATAAAAATATTGGCAATTCAAATGGATGCAAGAAAGGAGAGAAAAGGAAGGAGAACAAAAGAGATGGAATGAATGCAATGAGCAAGAGGTGATGACAGACTTAAACCTCACAATGTTAGTAAAATTGCATTAAATGTAAATGTCGTAAATGTTCCAGTTAAAATTAGAAAGATTATCAGCCTAAATTAAAATTCCATCTAGTAGCATATGCTATTTACCAGAGTTCATCTAAAATTTTTAAGGACTCAGAGAGTTTGAAAGCCAAAAAATAGAAATATCAACCAAAAGAAAGTTGGCACAACTAAATTATTATTAGAAAAAATAGACATTAATGCTAAAAGTGTTACTAGAGATAATGAGAATTATTTCAAAATGATAAAAGGTCTAGTTCATTGTGATAATATGAGAGTTTAAATTTGTTATAATTCTCATAGCATTGTCTAAAAATATATAAAGCAAAAGTTGATAGACTTATAAAAAGAATAAAGTACACAATCATGGTGGGAAATGTAAACATGTCTCTCTTATGGAAAATGTGTTAACATAAAATTTAAGTGAGTTGTTGCCTCTGAGTGAGAAGAGGTTTGCATTAGGAAGGGTACATACATAAAGGGCTTCTGGAGTTCCAGAATCTTCTATGTCTTTGTGTAGGTGGTGCTTAAAGACTTTATAATTATTGAACTGAGCATATGAACTTTACTTCTACATGTATATTACATAGACATATTATTTTGCCTGCATATCACACATATAATAATATTAAATGAAAACAGAAAGATGAGCAACCAGTATTAAGAATTTAGATGGCACAACTTATGAGGTAGAAGGAATATTTAAGGAAATGGTGTCTTAGAAGGCAAGTGCAGAAAGTATGTCAAGAAAGTTGGTTGAACAACTGTTTCTGTTGATAAGTCAATTAACAAAGCCTCTTTGTTCAACAATGTGGATGCCATTGGAGACTTAGAAATGAGTTGTTTTATTGAAATAGTGGAGGCAAAACCTGAATGGAGTAGGTTGAGAAGACACAGGAGGAGAAAATCAGATTGCCATTGTATTTGTTTGTTAAGGTTGCCATAAACAGAGTTCCACAAACTAGGTGACTTAAAAAACAGAAATGTGTCTCATATTTCTGGAGGCTAAAACCCCAAAATCAAAGTGTCATCAGGATTAGCTCTTTCTGGAGGATTTGAAGGAAACTCTCTCCATGCCTGTCTCCTAGCTTCTGGGGTTTGCTGGGAATCTTTGGTGTTCCTTGGCTTTTGTTGCATCAGCCTGATCTCTGCCTTCATCTTCACTTGTGTGTCTCTATGTTCTACAAGGACACTAGTCATATCCGATTAGGGGCCCAGTCTACTCCCATGTGACCTCCTCTTAACTAATTACATTTGCAATGACCCTATCTCCAAATAAGGTCATATTCTGAGGTGGCGAGGGTTTAACTTCAACATACAAGTTTTGGTGGGACACAATTGAACCCATAACAATGAGTATAGACAAGCTTTAAAGCGGACAGAGAAATGGAATTTGGTAGAAGGAGATGTAGAATAAAAAATATATATAGTTAAAGATGAAATGATTAAAATTATGTATGTTGATAGAAATTACCCAGTAGAAAGGAGAAAAATTGGTAATTCAGGATAGAGAGGGAACAATGGCTTGAGGGAGATCCTTGAGTGGGTAAAAGGATACAAGATCCATTGTCTAAGCAGAAGCATAGGACTGAGAGATGAGTGAGGACAACCTTCCCATAGTAGCAGGAGGGAAGGCAGATGTATATGTGCAGATGGGGGTAGGCTGGTAAACATGGCACTGGAAGGGTGTGGAAGTTTTCTTTTGTTTGTGTTTTGTGAGGGAATAGAAATAAACTGATAGGGTTGGGAGGAGGTGAGAGGCGTTTGTCAAAAGAAGAGAGGCTGTGAAATAGGCTTATGGGATAACGAGGTAAAGGAATGTAGCAGGACTGCCAGGGCACACTAAAAGCTTGGTTTAGTAACTGAATTTAAGTCAGTATGTTTGGGTGCTTGTTTCCAGCTGTGGTTAATTGTGGGAGTGCAGGTAGAGAGTAGGCACAAAGTTGGATTTAACTAGGATTTTTTTTTTTTCCAGATGAACACTGCAGAGTGAGAGAGGCAAAGGAATTGAGGGAATTTGTAAGGGAGTGATTATAGGATGGACAATGAGGTTGGATCAGTGGATTGAAGATCCTGGTAAGGTTAAAAGATTCTGAGAATTGAGTATTGTGGAATACATTGGGAAAATCACACCACTCCTCTGTTCAAAAGCCTCTGTGGTGACGGATCTGAGTAATAGCAAAAGTCCTTACCGTGGCTGATTAGGGTGCCCTACAAGATCTGCTTTCCCGTCCCCTACCCATGTTTCTACCCTTGTTTCCTCCTTCTCCCCTTAGGGTCCTTTTTGACCACACTGGTCTACTCATTGTTTTTTGAACACCCGGAGAAGCTCCCATCTCATGTCCTTTGCATTTGCTATTTGCTTTTTCAGGAACATTCTTCTTCCAGATGCCTTCCTGGCTCAGTCCTACAGCATTCAGGTCTTAGCTCAAATATTTCTTGTGTGTATGTGTGTGTGTGTGTGTGTGTGTGTGTACCCCTGGCCACCCTTTAAAAAAGTGGACCTCTTCAATACTGCCTAACTTTCTTTTTTGCTTTTTTTTTTTTTGTAGCACTTATTACAAATTAAATAGTATACATTTGGTTTATCATCTCTCTCAACCCTGTGTAAGTTCAAGAAGGGTATAGATTTTTGCCCGTTTGGATCAGTCCTATATCACCAACATCTTGAACAGTGCCTGGAACAAC